TATATATATATATATACACACACACATGAGATTTTTGCGAAAGCTAACGGGTTCCGGCGACCCCTCTAGTGACCATGTAGGTCCGCCTTTTTCATTGATATCCCTACCATCAGATCACGTATATAACTTAAATCTTTGTATTAACAGGCAAAACTTCCAAAGAAGGGTTCAATTTTCAGGCAAAATATTTTGAACCTCATCTTGTCGATTATGATGTATTCCTTCTCAATTGTGTCAATTCCATCATGCTTAAATCTTCATCACAATAGTTTTGGAGTTTGCCAAAAGATTTTTGTCGATTTTTATTATATCACGCAAGTTACTAAACTATTTTGTAATAAAGTCATTCATTTGCATAAAATCAAGTCATGTAGTACATTCACTACTATAATGTGTTCCAAGCATAGTACTTTTTTCATTTTATTGTATGTGATGCTATTTGGATGAACACAATTAAAAAAATAATAGAATAATAATATTTTAGTTCACTTTTACTTGTTCACTATATTAAAAATATATTTTACTTTTACTTGTTCATCTTAGCAAATCAAGATATCGTTTAGTATTTGATATTTGCTAGTTTATTTAATTCATGTCTAAATAAGATTTGTAGTCTGAATTAATATAGGAATAGACTTTCCTATTTCTAGTTAAAATAGGTTTTCATGTTGTTATAAATAGGGGTATTGGTAACTTATTTTATGTGTGAAGATTGGTGGAGAAGTTTGTGAGAAATATTCATAGATTTATAATAAAATATTTTTCATCGTTATATTGGTATTAGAGCGTTCAGTGATCTTGGGAGAGAATCGAGTAGCTTCCGTTGTCGGCTGGCGGCATTAGCCAATGCGTGCCCCCATCTGGCCAAAGGTCACGTTGGCAAATGTCGGGTCGACTGTATATTCATGGAAAATAATCATGTCTAAAAAAATTGAGAAAAAAACTGCAGTTTTAAAAGGAGCAAGCAAATAGCTCAAGAAGAATAAACTTTTCTCTAGAAATTGAAGAGAATTATTAAAAAGTTGAAAGTTAATTACAGTTGAATAAACAAAATTGAAAGTTGGGGACAAATGCCTCAACAATTAGGAGCTGGTGACAAGTGCATCAGTAATTGGATGTTGATGACAAAGTGTATCAACATAGAGTTGAAAACAGGTGTTTCAATAAAATTGGGTGTTGATGACAAATTGCATCAACGGAGTTGAAGACAAATACTTCAACAAAATTGGGTATTGATGACAAAGTGCATCAACGGGAGTTGAAGACAAGTGCTTCAAAAAATTGAGTGTTGGTGACAAAGTGCATAACGAGAGTTGTAAACAGGTGCGTTAACAAATTGAATGTTGGTGGCAAAGTACATCAACAAGGAGTTGAAGCCACATGATTCAACAAAATTGAGTGTTGGTGACAAAGTGCATCAATGGAAGTTGAAAGCAAGTGCTTCAATAAAATTGAGTGTTGGTGACAAAGTATATTAGCGGGAGTTGAAGACAGGTGCTTCAACAAAATTGAGTGTTGGTGATAAAGTGCATAACGAGAGTTGAATACAAGTGTTTCACCAAAATTGAGTGTTGGTGATAAAGTGCATAACGAGAGTTGAATACAAGTGTTTCACCAAAATTGAGTGTTGGTGACAAAGTGCATCAACGAGGGTTAGATACATGTCTTCAATAAAAGTGGAAGTTGGAGAGAAATTCTCCATTACAACAACAACAATAAAAAGTCAGACGTATACAACATTGAATTACAGGAGAATGAAGGAAAATTAAATTAAAGTTATAATAGGAAACCTCAAGTGTAGTACGAGTACAACCGACCCCATGTACTCAATAAGTAACAAACTTAACCTTAGGTTGAAAGTAGTGACGAGATGAAACATAGGTCAGGTCCAACACCCAGTAGCCAACAACAGTTCATAACAATGTAAAGCAAGTAATAAAAGAAGTAACTCAAAGCTAACATGCTCAGCTTAATCATGACTTCCAAAAAATAGTTCTGCTTCTCAAGTATATCGGTGAAAATTCTAAATCTCTTACCAAAACCGCCGAAAATATGAGTAAATTTAAAAACTGTGAGTTTTCCCAAAAATTCTTTCAATAATAAATATATGATGTTTTATTTTCTTTTCAGATAGTAAATGTAAAATAACTCTCTATGCCCATATGTCAAGATGTGTGAGAAGTCATGGATGACGTGATACCATACAACACGAGGAAAAATGCATCTCTATGCATGTATGTCAAGTGTGCATGCCAAATGCGTTGCGACTTAGTGATAAAACTATATGCATACTCTTAGAGTATCAATTCACTCAGTCCTCTCAGTCACTCAGTCATCACAATCACTCAATCCTCACAATCACCTTAGTGGGTCCCAACAGGATAATCATGTAGTTTAGAATGGATTCAAACATGGATCACAGCTCAATAACTCAAGTACGTAAAAATTTCATGGTTACAGGTAAGATCAGGTAACTACACAGACCACAGAAATAACAGAGTCACAATTCATACGGTGCACGCCCACACGCCCGTCACCCAGCATGTGCGTCACCTTAACATCAATCACATAGCACGTAGTTCGGGGTTTCACACCCTCAGCACTAAGTTTAGAAGTATTACTTACCTCGAAAAAACTAATTCCAATACCGAGCCAGCCAAACGATGCTCCAAGAATACTATCTTGTACGTACCGACCTCCGAACGACTCAAAACTAGCCAAAAGCAACTCAAATACATCAATTAAAGCCCAAGGAAATAATTCCAAATGATAAAGATCGAATCCTTAATCAAAACCCAAAACTGGCCAAAAGTCACACCCCGACCCGCGCTTCGGAACATGGCAAAACTTATAAAATCCGATAATTCATTCGATAACGAGTCCAACCATACTAATTTTACTCAAATCCGACTCCGGATCGATGTTCAAAACTCAAAAATTCACATTATAAAACTTTAGGCCAAAACCTCCAATTTCCTCTTTGAAATTCATCAATCAAAAGCTAGAATCGAAGAAAAATTCATGAAATATAATCAAAACCGAGTAGAAAATACTTACCCCAATTCATATGGTGAAAAATACTTCAACAATCGCCTCAATGCGAGCTCCATAGCTCCAAAAATGTAAAAATGACCGAAACCCTCGAAATATAATACTTTATAATCTGCCTAGGCATTTCTCTTACGCGAACGCGCGAAATGCATTGCGTTCACGATGAACAAAATCACACTGCCAACAAAAGACTCTACGCGTTTGCGATACACCCCACGGAAGCGTGATGACCACAAGTGCCAAAACTTCGCGAACACAACTCACATTTCACGATCGCGTTGAAGAATTCACCAACTACCAGCTGCCAAACCTCAACACTACCCGAACGCATATCCTTACACACGGACGCGAAGAACACCACATTAACCCATTGCGAATGCGACCAAGGAAGCTCGATTGCGAATAACAAACCACTGCACTAACCAAAGTACCCATCGCGAACGCGTTTCTCCATCCACGATAGCGAAGCACATCTGAAACACCAGAAAACCAGCAATAACAACATGGTCCAAAATAGTGTGAAACCCGTCTGAAACTTACCCGAGCCCCCCGGGATCCCGTCCAAACATACCAACAAGTCCCATAACATAACACAGATTTACTTGAGGCCTTAAAACACTAGTAGCAACATCTAAACGACGAATCACACCTCAATTCAAAATTAATGAACTTGAAACTTGAAACTTCCACAATCGATGCCGAAACCTATCAAATCACATCCGATTGACCTTAAATTTTGCACACAAGTCACATTTGACATTGCGGACCTGCTCCAACTTCCAGAATCAAAATCCAACCCCGATATCAAAAAGTCCACTTCGGTCAAACTTTCTAAAATTTCAACTTTCGCCCTTTCAAGCCTAATTCTGCTACGGTTCTCCAAATCACAACCCAAATGTGCTTCTAAGTTCAAAATCACCTAACAGAGCTAACAGAACTATCAAAACCGAATGTCAAATACTAAAAAGTCAAACTTGGCCAACTCTTCCAATTTAACGCTTCCTAGGTGAGAACCATTCTTCCAAATCAATTCCGAATAACCTGAAAACCAAAACTGACGATTCGCATAAGTCATAATACATAGAACGATGCTACTCAAGACTTCAAATAGCTGAACGGGATGAAAATGCTCAAAACGACCGGTCAGGTCGTTACATATATGAATAAGCTTTCCTATTTCTAGTTAAATAGATTTTCGTACTATTATAAATAAGGGTATTGATAGCTTATTTGTAGAGAGCTTTCAGAGATTTAATAAAATATTTTTCCTTCAAAGATAATTTTTTTCTTCATGTTTTACCCTTATTATTAATTATTAAATCCCTAAATCATTTCCAAGACTTTTTGGAATGCTATTACTATTACGATATTCTTCATATATTTTTTTTTAAAGAGAGTACAAAGTTAAAAGTGAAGGAGGGAGTAGGTAATTGGAAAGTTAATGTGATGTTAAAAATTTAGAAGTGGTGGATAAATAAATTTGTATTAAATATTTTTGGACGTTATAAAATGAAAAATTTTATAAAAACATGGAGGATAAGCACTTTCAGATTTTCCTTATAAACATTTCTAAAATGTAAAACCAGCTCATCGGAGGAACTGAACACATGCGTTATAAATTATAATAATCAAAAAGCATAATTAAAATCTCAACAACAAATTTTCATTTCATTTCATATTTTTTAATCAAAACAGTTTCTTTCCCCAAATCGAACAACTTTTCCCCCCCAAATCACCTGAAAAACCCTAGAAATCTCAAATTTTGATCTGATTTGGTGGCTATTATTGTAGAATTGGATCATTTCTGATTAGCAGCCATGCCAGTGGCGGCTTCAGCAATATATTTTTTGAATCTTCGTGGAGATGTACTTATAAATCGCCTCTACCGCGATGATGTTGGGTATGTTCTCATTTTATTCCCAATTATTTATTTATTTTTCGACTCACTTTTTGTTTATTTTGATTTATGGAATTAGTTTAAGATAATTAATTGTTCAGTTTTGAACTTTGATGAATAAATTAGAGTTTTGCTGCTCGTTTTTGTAATGTGTGGTGCTATAAGCTCAAAGCTGGAACCTTTTGCATTGTTTGTATTGCTGTATACGAAAAATTATTTATGCATAAAATTTTGCCTAACTAAAAATACTGTTTGCTGGTTAAAATTGTGCATTGCTAAAGCAAATTTTTTATTACTCTGACCATGTATGAATTTTAGTGTATAGGTCTGCATAAGTAATATAATACTATCTGTTTTTTGGTATAAACTCCATTTACTGATGTCCGCGTAGCTTACTACATTACTCTGTTATGTTTCTCATTTAACTATGAACCTTTCTTAATTTTATCAGAGGGAATATGGTAGATGCTTTCCGGATGCATATAATGCAGTCAAAAGAACTTGGTACATGTCCTGTCCGGCAGATTGGAGGCTGCTCTTTTTTGTACATGAGAATTAGCAATGTCTATATTGTGATTGTTGTTAGCAGCAATGCAAATGTTGCATGTGCATTCAAGTTTGTTGTTGAGGTAACACTCCTCTTGGTATCAGAATCTCACCTGTGCACCTGATAATTCCGGTCTCAAGCACTGCTGTTTATTTGTTTGCTACGAAAGCTTTCATGTTCTTTTTCCCCTTTTTGTTTGGGGGTGGTGGTGGTGGTTTTT